CATTTTCTTCTGCCTTCAATCCTATCGCAGATATTTAGGTGTTATATTTCTCGTGAAACACCCGGTATACACTGCCGTTCAAAAGTATTAAAACAGTTGGTCCTACGAAGAACGATACATTTTAGGCTATGTTTACATCAACATAAGTGTCATCCACCAAGGTTTAATATCCTTCAAACACTATTTATTTCGGACCTTCAACAATTTCGAAATGCCTCATTAGATCTATCTCGATATTCGAAAAATTTCCTAATATTTATGAATAGGATCGTATAATTATCCTCGAACTATTGAGAAACCAATTTCCACGCTCACGAAACCGCGAACTGTTCCGGATAAGCAAGAATTAAAGGACACCAAGGGGAGGATGCAGAACATTTTCCCCCGGAACGGGTGAAGTTTTATCGAACGGGGTCCACCAGAACGAAACGGAAATCCGCGATAATCCGTGGCACGAGCCATTCACGGAGCCGCGGATCACCTCGGTGGCCAGCCAAGCGGAAAGAACACCGTATTCGCGGGGAGGGGGTGGTGCTGGGGGTGGGGTGAAGAGGACACGGGGGTGGTTTCCGCAAAGTCAAGGACGACGCTCGGAAGTTTCCCGTCCATGGAACTGGCACCGTCGTCGTCCTAGCTAATCGATAACAGGGACGAAAACGACGTCGAGGGGGGGACCAAATGGGGGGAGAGGATCGTTCACCAGGGGTCGAGCAGTCGGCAACTCCGCGGAACAACAATCAAAGTACAATAAATCGACGAAAATCGACGCTCGAAAAGAACTTCCGCAACACACCTGTTAAGCGAGGATGGATTTTGTTTGAAAAAAGTTCTGAAAGATACGGAATGATCTTGAGAGGGGGGGGGGGGCAAGTTTTATGGAAATAATGGGGTCGTGGTCAGTGGAGCGTATAATTGCGATGGATGAGGGTCTGAGATGTTGATCGTTTTAGGAGGAATGTTTGATTTGTTGCGAGTGTCGATGTAATGTTGATTGGAAAATTATTGAATTCGGGGGAAAGATATTCAAGAATTTGGGGTGGTAACAGGTAATGTAAGTAGAGTTAAGTGTTAATGGTAGAGGTAAAGTAAGTCTATATTAATAGACAGTATTTAAATCGTAAAATTTGATATTGTAAGCGTGAAGATTGATTTAACAGATTTTCTTGCCAAGCGCCGACAGCGTGTCGACAGGTGATTTTGTCGTGTCGATGAAAGTGGAATAACTCATTTGAGGTGTGGGCGTATGGTGGATGAGAATACAAATCGGTGGAACATGACACGTTCCTCACGGTCTTCTGGTGGCAGCGAACGTGTTAAGGGATTTGATAAAACAAGCTTAGACGGTTTCATATCGGGCGTGACATACATATAGTCACTCGCCGGTACGAAGGTACACCCCATAAAAAGGTCATTTTTATTCATGTAACCCGCTAACTGCATTTGTCTACTACAGTGTACGTCTACTTCATCGCTTGAGTGACAATATCTGGAACATTTCTTACCGATCGACAGTGCAAAATTTGTCTAAATGACATCCAAACATATAGAAAAACGGTGTTACTGTGACTACTAATGCGTTATTTATCGTGAGTAAACATACTGTTTATAACAAAATATTTAGTAGTCTTAAAATGGCTCTTGGTTCTTGATTTTATGAAAAAAAAACTTTTTGACAACGTACCAAAACGATGACCGGGATAAACAATAAATTCGTGTAATATCACGTCTATTTGTTAACACATGAGCTGATATTAACTATTTCGTAACAAAATGTATTAGCAATGTGAATATTTTTACAAGTAAGAAAAAAACAATTATGCATCACAGAAAAGTGACCTTATTTGTGGGGTGTACGAAGATTTTCGTCAACGGCTATATGTATGACGTTCCGATTTCTAAGTCGGTATACGTCATTTGATAAAAACGGAATGTGATTTGCAGTATTTATCCATATTTTTGGTCGTTAATTAGGTCTGTTTCGTGCAATTTTAATGTCTAATTGAAAAAGTAAGATTTCAATGAAGAGAATCATGGACACGTAAAGAGTGGTCTCTGACGAACGTTTTCGAAACAATATGGTGGTAATGAACGTATGTTAATGGTGGTAAGATCCATAGAATCTTATTGAAGGTAACAAAATTCGTAGAATAGTGTTAAAGATAATAAGATCAGTAAAATCATGTGTGACAACATCGAAAACCTTGACAGTTCTAGAATCCTACAGCGGAATCTCTCAAAGCAATAAAATTCAATACCGACACCGGAAGTCCTGAATCTTACGGGATTCGAGGCGAAACAGCTCCCGGAATCAGGAAATTCCACACAAGAATTTCTCAAAACCGTGAAACTCGATATCAGTGGTACTGCAAAATCCTTAGATCCGACACGAACGATCCTCCGACACAGCTCTCGGAGGTTGCGAAACTCGATCACAACATCGAATGAAGGTCCAGAAGCAGCCGTTAAATAAATAAAAAGAGTGCCGAGTCCATTCGTATCGAATCTACGTTGAATCGCAACTTTTCACCGAGAGAAGTGTATCAAACTTCCCTCGTCACGTGTTTCGAAGTGTTTGAGATTGGTTCGATCCATAATGATATTCCCGACATTAATAATTCACGCGGCACGATGGATCAGTACAGAAACGTCGGAGGAAATATTTTCAGGCTAAAAGAAACAGAAGATTCTGAAATCTTATTAATCCTTTGAGGTCTACTTTTGTAATAATACGGTCGATGAACATAATATATGACATTCTCTTTTGTGCCATTCACGCACCAATGTAATTGAGGATTGTACTGACACAGAGAGACTGGAATTTAGTGTAGAAAGAATATTAAAAGGGACAACAAATGGGAGAATAATAGGATAGTTAAGAGAAATAGATAGGAAAATTACAGAAAAGAAGGCAATAGGGCTAAGGGCGTAGTATTCATAGGAGAAGGTTAAATAAAAGAAAAGAAAAGTGTGTAGATGAGGGTGGGTATGTATCATTGTGGCGGGATGAATACAAAACTGTAAAACCAAGTTTCTTTTCTGGAAAATAGTTTTTAATACGATTTTATAAGCATTTATATGATAAAGTAACGAAAGAAAAGAAGGTATTTTATTTCGACACACTTTCTTAACATTTAACAAGCTCAAAAAGCGCTGAGAATTCCATGAAATTCAGATACAGTGTATCGATTGTGCAATCGTAAGAAAGGATGAATTGTATCACTGTTAGTGGCGAGGTGTCTCGGGATATGTTAGAATGGATAGAAATGAGTAAAAAGCTTCTGTCAGGAATAACGTCGCTATATTCGGCTTCTCGTCATTGGATCGATTCGCGGACGTTCCGTGTCCAAGACGGGACAACGTGAACTATTAATCAGATCGTATGTATGTAGAAAATTGGTCGTCGATCGTTATTCTTTTTTTTTTTGTTGTTCTTCGCGTCGACGACGACTCCGCTGTTTCGGCTGGAAGTTTCGTCGCGAGAAAAGAAATACACCGCTAGCAATGGCGCCGCCGAAGAGGAAGCCGAGAGGCTCGACCGGGAACGAACGAATAATCGATCCACGTTATCCCCGTCGACACCATCGTAAACGGTCAACATTTTCGCGTCGAGTGCAAACCTGTCAGCCGGTCAACGTGCCAGAATTGGTCTACAGACTGCTGAACGTCGACTCACATAACCAAGGTACTTCGATTTATGTAATCGCTTATATATACATATAATATTGAACGGAATTCATAAGAAACGTACATTTCACGAAAGGGAATTGTCGAAATGAACCATAACTGGGATTAGTTTCGATCGAAACCATCGCTAACTACAGGGTGAACCACGAATCGTGATCAGTAGAGATTACTTTGTTATTAGCAGTCCGATCGAAAATGTTTTTATCAGGTATGGCATGGTTTCAAGAGAGCTTTAACGTGTTTATAGCAAATTTTCAATTTTCTTTGAAAAATTCAATTTAAAAAGAAATGTAACACATGTTATATTATGATACTTACCGAATTCGTCTTGAAATCCTCTAACGGATAGGCGTAAAAAAATTATAGATGTATTTGTAAAAAATTGAAGGTGACCCTGAAAAATTCTGAAAAAAAAGAGTTGACAAAAAATTTGCTATAATCTCATTAAAGCTCTCTTGAAACCATGATATACCTGATAAAAACATTTTCAATCGGACTGCTAATAACAGAGTAATCTCTACTGATCACGATTCGTGGTTCACCCTGTATATTGGTCTTTCATTTAATGTCAAAAGTTCCTCGCCCTCCCTTCCTCAATGACGAAGACGACGATTGTCCTGAGAGAATTTTAATCATCCGAGTGGTTAATATCTATTTCACGACCGAAATGTTTTATTCGCCATCTTCGAAAAGGGGAAGGAAAATTGAATTGCTTTATAAGAGCGACAGGCTACGTAAAAGGGGACTATTAAAAGAGAAAATTTTTCTTCCAGGTTTACAGAATCGGAACTGTACGTAACGAAATAGGGTTTACGTTGGGTTCCTTCTTGTGCCATTTGCATTGCATAAGTCTTCGATACCGTGATGATAATTATATTACACCGTGAAATTAAGACTATGTAAAAGTGTTACGTTTTTATACACCAACCGTGATATAAACATCGAAGAATCATACATACAAGAAATCCAAAATTTTTTATGCCTAAACGATGTTAGACGATACTGTAGAATCACACACTGGAAACCTATAATGAACATTACGATAATATTCTTAATTATGAATACGAGAGGCGATAAGTTTCACATTTCATTCGACAAAATCACCCGTCTGACGATAAACGTGTTCAAATTATTCTTTACATCTACAGTACCAAAATTTTAATTCTATTCCAATAAAGATCCAGAATAAACTTACACTTCTATACTATTATAGGAGTAATGATTGAGCTTTTTTGTGCCGTTCCACAGTACCGAGCGTCCCTTCAGATCACAGAGGTGTAAGAATATCCAAGGACAGTGGTCGTTATCGCGAAAAAATGCGGAAATATCAGGATCTACGGGAGCCGTCGTACGACACCTCATCCCTTCATGAGAGCTCAGCGTCCATCGGGGTGTCCGAGTACACAAAATCTCGCGCAACGTCCATGGAGAACCTGTCGAGGGTGATGGACGCCACAAATAGCTCGAGAGCCTCCGGCTCCGGGAACAGTAGCGTATCAAATATCTCCATCGAACCGATTACGCTCGCGAACTCGATCGATAACACCAGGGCACTGCTCAAGAAGAAATCCCTTGTTCAGATCATCAACAATTACATCAAGGCTGGCATCGAGGAAGGTAATTTTTTGTTCATTTTTTCTTGAACATCGTAATCACAATATTAATACAAAAACTGGCAACTTGTTTTCGAAAGTGTGTGGTACATAATATTAAACGTGAGAAATATCAAAGCAGTGGTGGAGTTGAATATAATCCCCAAATGGGGACCATGGCACCTTATGGATTAATCCTCCAGTATATCTATTGGGTTAGGGTTAGGTTCTATTTCCAATTTGACCCAAATTGGAAATCTGCTCCCATTGACTATACTTGATTCCAAGTCTAAATACTTCTCTATTCAAATAATTTTACTGTTAACCCAGAATAACCCAAATTAATTGCTTTTCTGTATATATTGTTTACCACTGATCAGTTGTACAAGACATATGTTCTATAGTTTAATAGTTAATAATGGTAAAATTGGTACGTATGTCACTTCTAACAACAAGAATTCTTTCATTTCTTTTCTAAATCACACTTTACAGTAGAGGATTAAATTACTACCTGTTTACTTTGCGCTGTATTAGCCATTGATACTCATAATACTCTAGTATATCAAGCCGCCTTCAATCATCCTTCAGAATGAACGTTATATCGCAGGCAAAAAGCAAGCCAAGAAGTACATCCGCAAGGCGTTGTCGTTCGGCGTGAGGTCCGGTTACTTGATCCCGGCAGATCCGAAGGGTCAAGTGATCCGCGTGTCGCCAACGCTGGTGGAATCCAGGAGCAGCGACCCAGAGTCACGGAAGCGACGGCGTAGGGCCCGTCAAGGCAACGTGGATCCGTCGTTCATCGAGCGGAAGGAACGTCGACGGTTGACCCCACCGTTGGCTGTCAGGCGGAAACCACGACGCGGCCAGTCGTCGGACCGGCTTGTTCCACGGAAACGTAGAAAGACGTCCGCGTCGAGGAATCCCAAGTCGGACTTGAATCTGACCAACCCAAACACGAAGAAGAAGGACGCGGAGACTACTCGACGGGAGAGGAACTCGGCGGGGAGCAAGAAGAGGAAAGAGCCCGTGAGAAGGAAGTTAGTAGACTGTACGAAAGTGAAAGCTGAATTTTGTCTGACAAGGGAAGGCACGGAAGTGTCCCGCTCCGATTTTGATGAAACTTCGTATATCTGTTAAGCAATCAAAAATATACGTATTTTTTTTTAATCGGCTGAGACGCGACTTTAAGGGGTTAAACGATCCCTCGAAGTTCCAAATTATATTTTGGACAATCTGTTAGCACCATATTACTCTATATAAAAGAACTGCAAACCTCGTGTTTTCATGTATCTCCTCTGGTTTTTGAGATAGTACTTTCAGGTCGAAACTTCGAGGGGTGGTTTCACCCCTTAAATGCGCGTCTCAGCCGATGAAAAAAAATACGTATCCCTTATTTTTGACTGCTTAACACACATACGAAGTTTCATCGAAATCAGAGGGGGATACTTCCGTGTCTTTTTCTTGTGAGAGGAAAAGTAACTGAGCTTCTTCTAACCGAACAACTGTAGCTAAAATTCAGGCCCTATTATTTGAAATGCAGAAATCGAGTAGCGTGTTCGCAGCCCTCACTGCCGCCCAAAAGGAAAAGAAAACAGCCTTCTAGGCGCAACGACGAGGTGGTCGAAAGTCGACAGGATCGCAAAAATCGGACGACCAGGTCCTCGTACGTAGACAAGGACGAGAAGGATAATTTCGCGGAGACGAAGCAGAATCGGACCGACGACGACGACGACAGCACATACAGCGACATCGAGCTGGATCAGAAGACCGTGACAGAACGACGGAACTCGACATCGAGCGTGGAGATCGAGACGCAGGAGGGGAACGAAAACCCTGGAGATCCTAACAGAGAAGTCGAAGAGCTGCCACAGTTACCGAATAACGACGAGCAGGAGAGGAACGAAACCGGAGATGTACATTAGCGGCAGGATTGTTTTTTCGTTTTTGTCATTTTAGTTTTACTAGACCATTTACCGTTGTTTTGGACAAATGTATTCCTTGTATATGTATATATTTTGAGAAATTTGGAAATATATTCCGGTGCGAGACGAGGTGGGGGACAGTGTAATGACGAGAATAAAGGAAATTTATATTAGGATCTCTAAAATTTGTCGAGCTTGCTGTTCTGTGTTTTTAAATTTTAATTGTGTTGGAAAAAAGAGAATTACAGGGTAGTAGGTATAAAGTATAGGTATTTTATCATTTGTAGTCATTTGAATCAATAGAGGGCATTTTATAGATTATAGATTATGTGAGTTTGTGAATTGGTCATGAAGCCGCCATTGACTTCCGAGTACAGTAAGAAATCAGAGAATTTAGATAACATGTAGTGTAGATAGACGGACTTTCTACACTGTTATCTTTGTAAATGAGTAATTGACTATCATTTTTTAATCGAACAGTCAAGTTTAAATTTGATACATGCAAATTTACAAATAATAGATCATTATTCCCAAGTTTATTTAATAAATATGTAGACCCTGAATCCTGAATCGAAGATGGCATCGATTCTCCTCTCGATCCGATTCGAATCGATCGACAACTTCCGTGCCCAGCTGCAGTGTAGTAAACAAAATGAATTTAGGTGAAAAGCAAAAGCGGCGCCTGCTTTACAAGCGACGTTAAACGTAAAAACAACGAACAAAAACTTTTTTTTCGTGGACAAAAAAAGAAGAAAACAGGATAGGAGAAAAGACGCCGACGGATTGGCAGCCGCCGGGTCCTGTTTCTCTCCTTTTCATCAATGTCCTGGAAATCGGCAGACAAAATTTCGCGTCACGGACGAGCAAAAGCCTGGAGAAATTCTAAATAACAGACGAGCAACACCGTACCCCGTTAAACGTTCCTGTCCAAAGAGATTTCGGAAGCAACAGTAAGCACAAAATGGCCAATGTAAAGAGACGTCCTCGCGCGCGAAGCCATCACAAGATCAGTGAGTGCTCAAGCTTGAAGCAAAATTGAAACAAATCCGTGTTATCGAATTTATTTTCCGACGAGCATCGCTGTACGTTTGAAATTTGATGATAGTTAATAAGAAAATTCATACGAAATATTTTAGAAAAAAACTTCCGTTCATTCGTACGTATCCTTCACGCCGTCTAAGAAACCTTGTCGTTTACGGAAAAAGTAAAATGCTCTGAAACTTTCCGAAAACTAATTAAATCTCAGCGTCGAATATTCCGCGACAGGATTAAACATCTTCAATTTAATCCTTACGAAACGATGGCCAATTCAATCTCTCTGAGATATGCTCCCGGTCGTAGTTAATTTAATTACAGCGACACTTCTGTAATTGGGCAGCATGTTTTTCTGCTTTCGCGAAGGACTCGATTACGGATCGTTATTGACCGACTTCTTGGCTATCTTAGATCGTGCAAACCCATTTACTTGTCGCATCAGCGTTCTGTTTATTTAGTATCTACCCTCCAACTAGGATTTTCTACTTCGCTTTTCCTTCTGTGTTAATCCGTTACAACTCACAACTCACGGTTATCAATTGTAACCGTTTAATGGAAAATAAATTCATCTAATATTCTATGGCCAATAATCAGGATCACAATTCGTTGATCTTATTCGTTTTCAAGATTGAAATTATCGAAGTTAAGGTCAGAGATTTCTAATTTTTCATTGACTTACTACGTTTAAGAAAGCTTGTAACTTCTTGCCGTTTAGACAATGAACGTCGAATTTTAAGAAATAATTAATAAAAACAAAAAAGGAAAGTTGTGAGAAGCTCGGAAATAATGAACGAAAAGCGTGGAACTTCTAACGAAATGGGTCGCACGATTACGTTGCAGGGGTTGTTCCGGTCGGTGACGTAAGATTTGTTGCGTTTCAGAGGGCCGTCGTCGTAAGCCAAACATCTCCGAGCTGGTGTACAAGTTTCTCAGCCTAGGTGGCAATCAACGCGACAAGCGGACGTACGACGCCCACGACCCACAGTGCACGCTTTGTCGGCCACGGAAACGCCGCAACGAACTTCTGGAATCCCTGAATTCCAGGGTGACCCACGCCAGGAACATGACGAACAAACGTAGGGAATCTAGCAAGAATTCGAAGATGCATCGGGTGAAACGTCGTCGCACGTCTAAAGACCCGAACCGATCCGCCTGCATGTGCAAACGTAGCACTGGTGAAGGTTAGTGGAAACCTCTGCAAATTGTTTATGACAAATGCAGTTAGCGGGTGAAATCGCTATATATTTAACAATCAATCTGTATCCTCTTGCAAAAGAAAACGTTAATAATTGTGAAGGTTATTGGGACGTCTGAATTAAGAAAATTTGTTTAATATTGTGTATTAACGAACTGCTGCGAAAAAAGATTATATTTATCCTGTCGGACAAGTGTAACCGTAAAGAGTTAAATTCATCAATGACAATATTTTTGCTTGTTTGTCCAGGGGTGAAGAAGATGAAGAGGTATATACAAAAGGCCTTGGACTTCGGCGTAGAATCCGGCTACTTGATCCCAAAGGACGCCGCGTACAGAGTCCTCCGGGTGTCCTCGGACCTTGTCAGCGACGATGATTACTTGAGGAACAGCCGGGACACGTGCAAAACGGTATCCCGGGACAGGAGTCGGCGTCGTACACCGATGAATTTCGAAAGTTACGAGGTGCAGGATGCCAGGAGGCGAACGTCGCGTAGAAGACGACGATCTAGAAGTGGTTCCAGAAGGCGGAAGTCTCGAAGACGCAGCAAACGCGGACGGAGGTGCAGCGGGTAAATGTCACAAATAAACATATATAATGAACGTGATAAAGTAACATTCGCTGGATATTATACAATTAACGCATTATCTTTAACCCTTCGTGACCCCCGTTATTTTTACTACTTCTGTTACCCCTCTGGGTCTTTCATATCAAGACCTATTATTTTAATCTCATAAGCTTCCGGGAAATTTGCAAAAATTCAGGGATACTTTCCAGAGTTTCTACTACATGATCCAATAGTTGTTAAAGTTGAATGTTAAAAGGCTTTTTTTCAATATTAATCCCTTCGTTTCGGAGATTTGTCTCTGACATCCTCCGTCATTTTCATTAAACAGACGATCGGAAAAATGTTCTGAACTTAAAGTTGTATTTTGTTACAAATATTGAATAGTGATTTTCACAAAAATTTTGTGTACAAATATTGACTACAGAACCATTTATTACTCGTTGGTATGCCTAATAATTCACGGAGCAATGAACATTACAAAGTAAGGAATAACAAGCAATTCACTTTGATCTGGTGATGGTCGCCGATTACCATTGAACGCGTTAAAAACTTTTCCGCGAACGAGTCACGGGGCAATAAACAGTTACACGAATTGCTTTTGACGAGTTTCATTGCGGGGTGCTTTCAGGTCCGGAACCGAGGAGGTTGTCGAGAACGACGGTTACGAGCACGATAACCAGTCTGAGAAGCGCAAGAGCGCTGAGGACGCAAACGGCGAAGATGGAAACGAGCAATCGAACCAGCCAGACGACGACGACGGCGAGAAAACAACGGCCGACAAGGCGGAGGAAAGCTCGGATTTGTCGGTAGACGAGGACGACACCGACGATGAAGAGAAGAAAGGAGACGACACGAAGAAATCGTAGTTCGTGTCCGAAAATTGTCGATGGTTTCGAAACAATTCGAGTCGCAAAAGATTAAATTCCCAGTTTTCTCGTAACAGGAAAACACGATACACAATCGTGGCATAATAACAGATTATAAAAATGTCTTTTTTATTTCTTTGGTTTACGACTGTGTGTGGTATCGTTGCCCATCATGTGCTGTCGTGGTAAATAGTCCTGTAACTGATTACATACACCTCATCCATGTAATATGTTTCTTTGGACAATGAAAACATCGAGGTACAGTAGATTTGTCGTTTCTGTTGTCAATTCTTTAGTTTGACAGTCAAGTGTGGTTGCAGTGGAATTGGAAATTCGGTTCGGATTTTCATTTTCCTTGGGACCTAATAGAATCCCTAATATAGAAAAAATAATTTTCTGTTTGATTCAAGTTTTTGTCAAATGGAGAAGCACGATCTACATTTGCATAAACATTGCCAGCCTAGTAATTACTCTCGAATTTTCTATATTAGAGATTTTCCACCACAGGTAAATAATCTTTAAGTGAACATACAATAAGCGATATTTCAAGTCAAAATGGAACACTATCGTAGTACTATTTTTACGACTAATATTCAAGGACACTATAAGAGAAAGTGTCATGCATCGAAAGCAACTGAATTTTGATCGAAATTATGGAAGTGATTCGGTATGCACGTTACGCAACACGATTCTGCATTTGTATTAGTGTAATATCGACAGATTCTAAATCACAAAGTCGATTCAAGTACGTATGCAAATTTCATGGTCGCCATTAACGCACGCATGCAAACACTCTGCGGACCTATCGGAAATTAACAGTATATATATCGAGCACAATACTCGAGCTTTAAAACCCTGGGACAGCTTTTGTTGAAATGATTTCATGAGATTTTTTTCATAAGGCGCGCGTTTCATTTTCTCGAAACTAGCAGCGACCTTCAAAGAGGGTGTAAAATTAGGTACGGGTATGGTCGGACATAACCTCAAAAGTGGCTGAAATCACGGCGACAGCTGACAGAGACCAGGTTTTATCAAGCCATTCTTTTCACGCGCGCACTTCGACCTTCGTTCAGAAGAGTTCAAGGATATCGTTCCTTAAATCATATCAATGGCCGCGGCAAACGAACAGGGTCGGGGCGGGAATTTACAACCGAAACTTGTGAATCGAATTTTTTTACGGATACATACTACTACATAATAAATAGCTTCTACTATATAGACGTCTCCATAAAATGTATAACCATACATACCGAAGAGGATAAAACTTGCTGAAAAGTTAATTTGAACTTCGAAGTTTAAGGCTCCTTGAACTTAAACTACGCGGAAATCACTTCACTCGGACTACAGGTCCGAAAGTTTCTAACAAAGCTTTGAACATTTAAACATGAAGTGGAGTATTGAAATACGAAAAATTCGAAGAAAGTTGAGTAATGCCTTTATTGATGATAATGATTTGTAAACAATGTTACAACGGTCGTTTCGTCAACAAATGAATCCTTAAATTTATTTAGTTACTCAGCCATTTTATGTATTCTGTCGATAGATCGTTTATTGCGTTGTTCAATTAAACTACTATTTCACAAGACTGAGAATATTCCAAAGTAAACAAGTCGAAAATGCTAAAATTCCAGACCAGTCAGCTCCAGGAAGCTCGAGCATCCCTCAAACTAATTAATTCACGACAACAGACAATATGCTACAGAATTATAAACGTAATAGCAACTGACCGTATGTACACCTGCTCCACTACGAGCTGTGTTTGAAACCACGTTTGCGAAGGATACAACGCAGCTCTCGTTTTCCGCAAAATTTACGGTATCCATAAACGTCCCCGATAAATTTAACCCTCGACACGCATGCAGGACGACGCTCTTCATTAAAAAAAAAAAAAGAAAAAAAACAGACGACGAACAAGCGGTTCGTTATCGAAACCTCGAGTCCAATCGAAGCTCGCGGCTACACAAGCGTTATCGTTCCCAAGGCCGCCCTTCTGCAGGGGTAAACGACCCCTGTGATGGAATTATTAAGGGTCTTCCTTCATACGCCGAACCAGAGGGAAACGGCGAATGGCAAACAGAGAGTCTGAACCCCGTTGGATCCTGAACAGTCCACTTGGTAAACCGTGATAAACGGACGGAAGCCTAGCGTGTCCGAAATGAAATTGCCCATTAGCCCGAGCCAAACACCCTTGACAGCTGTGTGCCCTAGCACGAACACAGAGATAGATATATGTATATGGAGATGCTCCTGAGATTAGTGATCCAGAGAGGATCGAGAAACGGTGAACACCGCGGGAACCGTTCAGCTATTCGTATGCGGAAGCATCCTGAGGGGGGTGGATGATTGAGCGCACTGCGGCTTGATTGGATCGAAACGTCGAAGGTGCCTGATAAGAACGGAACAAAGATACCTTTACTCATTGTATAAACGTAACGCCTCTAGTTTCCTCTGACTTTTATAACCCTTATACCATGGACGCGGGTGGTTTATGACCCTCGTGCGTTGTTTTTGTAATAAAGGGATTGCTCAGGGGGGTGGTCCGTATTTTGGTCGTAGGGACTTGAAAGATTGTAATTTAAGAAAATTGGATGGTAATGCGGAGACTATCACTGGAGCATGGTTTACAAATGATAAATAATATAGATATGATCCTATATCGTTAATTTTAGATCGTCGTACCAAACGTAGTTTGTTATAAATAATTGCAGTTGGGTAAACTTCGGGTTTCCCAACACCGACTGACTTTCATCGAGTATCGTAGTATAGTGACGCAGTTAAATATTTTCTATAAAGTCACTGTCAATTTTTAGGGTTATATATACTAACTTTGTACAGGGTGTTGGAGCTTACTTGGTAATTCCAGATGGATACTAAAACTTTTTCCGTGTATGTAGTTTGTACTAGCTAATTCACGTATCATCAATATGCATGGCACTCTCTGTTCTCTTTCGTTCTGGACCGCATTAAAGTCGCCTCGATGAGGGTGTTTAATTACTTCAGTTTCAAAGTTGAAATTTATTCCAGATAATCTATACATACTCTACTTCCTAAGATGCATTTTACTCGGATTTTCGATTCTCCGCGGGTAGTGTGAAACCCACACACGTGTCAGTCACTAACTAACGATTAAGAAATCCACTTTGTCGCATAATATGGAAGAAAGAATACATTCTTCTGCTGTGAAGTTTTGCTTAATAGTAAAACCGATCATTTATCGCAATATCAACCAGAATCTGACGCCAATCATTTAGATGCATTTTATCGGAAGGATTAAATATTGGATTACTATAGTAAAGTTCAGTATCTTCTCATCTTTCAGAATCAATAACTTTTCATCGCCACTACACTACACATACACTCTCACATCTAAATATATTCCCAAGATAATAAAATAAGATATTCTACAGTTCCTTCACCATTACGCTGCCAGGAGTATCCCTTTTGAGACACTGAAAAAATTCGAAATACCAGCGCAGTGCACATATTAAATACATACAACTTTTTTGCTAAAAAACACTTTTTCTATTAAAAGAAGTCAGTCTAAAAGTTAATGATAACCCCCTGTCACATTTCATTAGACTCATCACATTTTCCCAAAAATCATCCCACACGAATCGCAGTCTACCCACCATCCGATCCAAACAAACCATCGAACATTCCCCGTGTAGCAAGTAGCAAATACAGAAACAGAATACAAAGTATCAGTCTTTCAAGCAGAGAGTTCAATAACCTCCAGTCATCGTGTACCCTTCCCAACGATTCTCCTCACGGACAATCACAGAACCGCTATTTCCAATTCCGTGGAACGATTCTCCTGTTTCCCAGCTAAATAATCAAAACCTATACTTTAAAAAACCCTATACCGTGAACACTTCCTGTGTACCTACAGAAAACCGTGCTCGACACGGACAATCCCCGTCACGATGTTCACCGCCTCGCGGAAGCACTTAAGAAATTACACGAAAAACTGGGCGTATCGCGGGGATGGGTCCACGCGATTCAACCCCTTCTTCGACCTCTCTGTGGTGCACTCGTGGCCAAGCACTTGACCTTCACCGGCCCGTGAACCCATGCCCCCAAGATTTACGACCGGAAGATCCCATCCTCCACCCCTCTGTGGATATGTCCTCCCTGCAGCATCCTCGCCCCCTTCTACTCTGTCTTCGTTCGCCAGCAGGATCCGCCACGCGCATTATCCTTGTTCCATCGCGCGGGTGCACTCGATCGATCGTCGGCTGCATCGCCGACAACGACGATGTTCGTCGCTCACGATGGTACACACACGGTTCTCGATGTGTTTGGGAAAAAGAACGGAGACTCGTGTGGAATGGTAACTGTGTGGACGACGCGATGTGACGCTGAGGATCGAGGGGGTGACTCGCCCCTGCACCGCGGAAGTCGTGGGCGTGGAAGTTTCTTTCGGGGGTTTGAGAGATTGCTCGGTAACAGTGGCTGTTTGGCGACGTAAGGTACAAAGTCTGTTCTTGGGGATTGTCCGAAGCTGAAGAAAGGGTGTAATACGGTGTTTGTAGGATTTTTCGATAGACGGGGGTGGATGTTGGTGGTAACAGTCAATCTGTTGCCAGGGATTTAAGAATTGGTTTTATGTAATTTAATGCTCTTGATCCTGAAGATGTCATTGTTTGTTCTTGATTGGCTCTAGTTTTTGAGATATAAACACCCCAAACTAAAGAACATTAAACATTCATCTCCCTACAAACATCCTCTTAACAAAATCCCTTTTCAGAAGAAGAAGCTATGTCAGTCACCGATCATATTCTCCCATTACGTGTTAAATTGACGGCACGGTTAAGAGTACCACCCACCCCCTGGTCTCCAACAGACAAAAACAGAATATCAAACCGCGCGAACAAACGTCTGGTACACACGGGTACAATCAAAAAGACAAACATCAAGGGCACATTTCGACGCCGCTATCCGACGCCCGGCGTCGCGAGCGTCGACCGTTCGACGATTGCGCACCACGTGGACCGGAGTTC